CTTCAGAGGAGCTGACTTAAAGCCTGATGTGTGTAGAACAGCCATGATTCAGGTCTATTGGAGCATCTTTCATTCGGGAGGCTCAAATGGCTTTACTGCCTGAATTACTTACAGCCCTGCTGTAGCTGTGTGTGAGCACTGGCTCTCCTAATGCAAAAGCCGGGACAATCCACACATACCCAGCACCGCAATGACTCGCCTCCCCCATTGCCACCTGCAAAAATATGGATAGGGGACCTCTGGTTTAAGCAAAGTGTACTCTGAGAAATTGGATCTTAGTGCAGGTCACCATGAGGGAAACTTGGCCTGCATGTGGGTCCATTTCTGGGTTGTTACCATCTGTGTGGGCATCAGCGGTACAGATCGTGAGAACCATCTGCATGTCTGTTCCACAGCACATGACAAGGGCAACAACTGACATTTATCCATCACTTACTATATACCAGGTGGTTTTCTAATCTTCTTTTCTATTTTGTTTTAATGGTCACAATGATCCCGTGAGGCAGGCACTGTTAATCCCCATTCTACAGATGAGAAAACTAAACCACAGGGAGAGCTAGTAACTTGTCCCAAATCACAAGTGTGGAGATTCTGACCCACATGCCTGACTCTGGACCTCACACACATGGTGCAGAGAGCGGTGTAGGGAATTCAGGGACGACAACTGAGGTTAGGTCCATGTTCGCACCTCCAGAGGGCTGGGCCGTGGTTTATAGCCATCATTTGTCAAGGTGGGTGCCATAGGAAGCCTTCAAAATCTCAGGGTTAGTTTGTGATTTAGTGAACTTGCTCTGCGTTCAGTCCAAGAAATAATTCTGTTGTGATTCATAGGACTCCATGTAGAAGTTTCAAACCTCTACCCACGCAGCGCATCTGTAAATGGTCAAAGAATAACTTCACGATATTTGCTGCAAAATGCAAATAATTATAAATCCTTCCCAGCTTCAAGAGCAAAATAGGAAGTGTAATAGTTGTGTAGTGTTTAATTCTTTGTTTATCGGTAAAGCAGCATGGATGTGAATGATCTCTATGTAATGTGCTTGCATTCTGGGGCTCTAAGCAGCCCAACAGATTGCTTTTAATTCATTGTTTGCTTGGGGCACCTGGGTGGCTCAGTCATTTAAGCATCCAACTTTGGCTCAGGTCATGATCTCACAGTTTGTGCGTTCGAGCCTGCCGGCTAAGGATCCTGTGTCTCCCTCTCTGTCTGCCCCTCCCCTGCTCATGCAGGGAGGTTTGTTTTCATTAAAACATTTTTAAAAATCATCGTTTTATTTTCCCTTTGCAGATGATCATTCGCGGGTGAGACTACAGACCATAGAAGGAGATACCAACTCCGACTACATCAATGGAAATTATATCGATGTATGTATTTTGAAACCGTCAGTAAACCCAACTGTTCTGCCACGTTCCACATCGTGTGTCTGCTATGGTACTGGTGGGCACTCACTGCTCCAAATCCAGAAGCAAACACATTAACGTTACTTCACAGCCTGCAGAACTTTACGGTGGAGACATGGCCACTCCTGTCCTCAAGTCGGCCTACTGGCTGCTGAACTCCTCTGTGACATTCCGTGTCTTCCGTGCTGCTGTGGACCAAGGATAGCGTTTCCATGTTTTTGTCAACAACTTAGATTATTTGACACTTTAAAAGAAATCTGTTTACATATTAATAAGATAAAACTCTCTTAATTCCTAATTCGATGATTTGCGATCTCTCGTCATTACTGCACTTTTAAGTTGCCTTCAAAGTAGTCTGCAGCTGTTTAACCAGGACATCGAATGCACACAAGACATGTCATTAAATATGTAGGCTGTTTAATTATTGAAGACTGCTTCTTTGTTCATCCTGCATCATGTTAACTTAATGTCTTACATTAGAATAAATTCCTGAGGAGACAGCATGTTTTCAGTTGAAAGAATGAATGAACTCAAAAGTAGCCTGAAAATGAAGGGAAAGTCACTGTTGCCTTCAAGGCTCAGGTTCATGTGAAACAGACCTTTGCTCCCTTGCAGTTCCCAGGGCACGCTGTGCTTGCCTTGGCCATCACACTGCCTTCTAGTCCATTAGTACTTCCACGGACAGGCTTTACCCATACACGTGAGTTCTTTCATCTTCTTACTTGAGTATAATTCAGATGCTACTAAAAGTACTAGCATCACAATCTCTAAGAGTTACCTAAAAAATAAACATAAGGAGGTTATTTATAGTACTGCTTGGAAAGGTTGTGACATTTTGGTGATGGATCTGAGGGTAGGGCCTACAGGAGGACTGTCTGAAGAGTAATTCCGTATCCCATTCCTCGAATGAAGCCCCCTACACTGCTACATTGGATGATGGTCCAGAACACACACGGCCCAAGTTAGATATCTTTTTCTGTTAAAGCCAAGTTCCTTCCTAAAATACATTGCACTTATTCCTTTATCCGGTAGATGTTTAGTGAGTCCCTTGTGGGAGAATTCAGAGGTGGCCAAGACCTGTTGCCTTCTCCCCAAGACTTCAGAGTTTAGAAGCTGACGTAAGAAATGTCTTCTCTATAACACTCCTTCCCTTGGGAGATTCCAAGGGAATCCTGTTCATGCTCCAGTCCCAGCTCCTAGAGCCCCTTGGGGGCTCTTGAGCACAGGGGCTGTATCCTGTGCATCTTGTACCCCCTGAGCCTGGCACAGCCCTGAAACTCTGTAAGCACTTAATAAGTGTTTGATGAATCACTACCTCAAGGAGTAAATGTAATCAGATTAGGTTTTGTGGCAGAAGTGATTTTAACTTAGCTTTAAAGAATGGGCAGGTAGAGCTACAGAGGAGGGAAGACATTAAAGTAATAAAAATACCAGATTAATTAGTTTTAATTTTAACAGAGAAAAGAGTCAATATTCAGGGCCCTTTTATTCACTTAGTCAATAAGATTTTATTGAGCCACCTGTTGTATTATATGTCAGTTGCTGTTGTACGTATTAGAGTGTTAACTGTGTGTGATTGAGACCACAAACAGAAACAATGGACTGAGAAATGACCACTGCGTTTAGCAACATAGGTCATTCGTGGACTGTGTGGATTATTTCCGTTTCATAGATGAGCTCCTCCTATCTCCTAGCGCCTTGCTAGAACTGACGTATGGAGCCGCACATCAGACAGGGTCTTGCTTTGTGAAACTTATCAGCTGGCAAGACATGAGTGATTATCTTCATAATCCTATTTAATATCTGTCAAGAGTCTATACCCACAGCAGGTCAGTTGTATAAAAGAATGTGTTTGCTTTTGCTGTTCATTATCAATGACTTGTTTTAAAAGCAAAAAAAAAAAAAAAAAAAAAAATCTACCAGATACACATTGAAATGGTCTGAGAAATCTGTATTTTCTCTCCAAGTTTCTCCTGTTTCCCATCTGGCTTCAGGCACAGTATATTAGGTAATCTCGGGGAACAGAAATGGAAAATATTAAGGTCCGTGGCGATATTATGTTACCTGTGTGTAATTTTCTCTAAATTGGTTTTATCTTCCCCAGATATTGATCCTGTGACGTTCTTTGTTCCCGTCTGTATTTGGTCTCAATTTTCATCTTTTCCCCTCCTCACAGGGTCACGATAAAAGGAAGGGGCCTTGCAGAATTTCTGCCTCGTTGCATTTCTGGCCCTTGCCACGGCAGCGTGTCATGGCATTAGCAGTGTTTAAGAATGATGTTCAGTATGACTATTGATGTAGCTGCCTATACCGGTAGAACAGGATGTGTGTTAAAGCCTTGGCACGTTGCCAATAGCATCCCGAACACACATGAAATCCTAGTGCACATTCCCAGCCTGTTTGCAATCTAATAAGAGTCGTGGTCGTCTTATTTCAGAGAATCCATAAGTTGTTAGTGTTGATTGCTCACCCATCGTCTCATAGCCGGCGTATGATTAAGTTACTCCCACCCCATGTGTGAGCCACAGAACTGTTAGCTTTGATCCACCTTTGCTTTTTACGAGGCACTAAGCGGTACTGGGTCTGGCCATTTCACTTTCAACCGGTGCGGTTGTTGGTATTTGTATGTGCATTCATTTTGGCAAACTTAGTGGGTGACTTCTGTGCTGCTTACCGTTTTAAGGTTGTCAAATATTCTTTCTCATTTATTTTTAGGGTTATCATCGACCCAATCATTATATCGCTACCCAAGGTAAGTGCTAGAGCCTTGATGCCTTTCTTTGGTTGTTTGTCTACTCTCTGTCATTTCATCCCTATGTCATCCTCCAGAATGATATTCCCCACTGCTCTAGCCCCATTTATTGCAGTTCTAGTCATCAACACATACACCCTTGTTTTCCCATCAGAATGTGATCATTTAGTTAGACCTGATGTTGTGATCTTTAGAAGTGTATTCATCAATTCATTATTGGATTAATTCTGTCTGCCTTCAGAGCGAATCTGACACTTCATAACTAGGCATATAGATAATCACTAAATAAATCTGTGCTGAGTACAGTCTATACAAAGACCTGTGCCAATTGCTGCCGGGAGTGCAAGCTGAATTCATCAATTACTGTCTCTCACATCGGTTGTGGTTTGATGGGGAAGGTATGAGGTGACCTGTACATTATGACAAGCAACACCAGTTAGAAATTTATGCGAGAGGTGCAGAGAAAATGTTAGGGAAACTTGGAGAAGAAAGAAGTTACTTTCAGATGGGATGATCCATAAACTGCTTTGTGGTAAAGGTGAGTTTGAGAGGAAAACTTCTAAATGGCCGAGACATCATGAGCAAAGATCTGAAAGTAGGAAATCAGTACTCCCAGGTGAAAAGCACTTGGTGGATCACTTTGGCTAAAGGAAACAAGAAGAAACCTAGAGGAAAATGTTGGAGAAGCTCATGGCAAGAGCTTTTGTGATGTCTTTCCAGGACACTATGACTATGGAGAATGAGGATTGTGAGAGGGCTGAGGTTGTTGGGAACGAGGCATCGTAAGGGATGAGTTATTGCATCTGTTGAATGAACTGAAGAAATGCCGAGAATCAGGAAGGACCCAGTTAGGGTTGAGAGCATGCATTCTCTTCATTTTGTTATTTTATCATTGTTTCCAGTATTGCATCATATCCCAGAAACAGGAGCCGGGAAATCACAAGGATATGACTTGCCAATGGTCAGGGATTGGCGGGTGGTGCCCAACAGAATATCAAGGATCAAGAGAATAAAGGATGGCAAGAACATTGTGGAAAGTCTAGGTTTGGAGGCAGGAGAGTTGGAGGTGTCTGATGGACCATGAGGAGAGAGAAGTAGCTAAAGACTGAGGTCAGGTTCAGTTAATGAGCCATAGGTTGTAGCCAGTGAGCAGAATTCCAACACTTAGGGCAACACTATCCAGCATAACTTTCTATAATGGTGGAAACCTTCTGTATCTGTGCTGGTCTATATGGTAGCAACTAATTAGACACTCAAAAATTATCTACTGGTGGAAATCTTCTGTATCTTCACTGGTCAAATCGGTAGCTACACGTAGACACTCTAAAATTTATCTACTGCTGGAAATCTGTATCTGCACTGGTCAATATGGTAGCCACTAATACATACTCAAAAAGTATCTACTATGAATAAAGAACCGAATTTTAGATTTTAATATGGATTTAAATAGCTTCATTTGGCTATTCCCTACTGGCTGTTTTGGACAGCAGGGCTCTGGTTTAGAAAAGCTCCAAGTATGGCTGAAATGGAGCCACTGTGGGACCTTGTCCTAATCCCGACAGCCTTGGCCAGTACCTGGGTGGCACCATACATAGAGTCCGCAGTCTCATGTCACCATTTTCGATTCTATGCCTGGGTCTAGGTGACCTACTTAACCTTCAATATGTTTCCTTCCCTGAAATGAAGTCAGTAATGGCTCCTTCCAAGGTCACTTGGCTAGTCAGAAGAAAGGTCACATGGGGAGTGGCCAGCTTGAACTGGCAGGAGACAGACCTTTACATAGGAATTGCTAAGGAGTTGCAATACCTGGCACGAACTCCCACCTGATGGGACAGAACAAGAACGTGTGTCCAGGGGCTCTGAGTCCAGTCCTGGTTGCCTTCTGTATACCCTCCTGCTTTTAAGCTGAGTCCATTGATGCTTTTAGAGGAACCCTTTGTTAGTTCCTTAAATCCCTACTAATGGATTCGAGAATATTCCAAAGTAAGGATCGTAACAGATCTGATCTAGTAAACGTGCTGATGATTTGGAACTAACAGTGTTTATAAATATATGCAAAAATTTGATCCTAAAATATACAAAATACTACTGAGTTCTTGATTCTCAGCCCACGTTTCTATAAATAACGTGAATGTAAAGTTAAATCTTATTTGAATTTTCAGAGTCAAGGACCTCTACATTAATGTTACTCAACAGCTAGCCAACGTAGAGATTGAAACCCCCAAAGTCCTACATGTGGCCCCTCACCTGGCATTCCTTTGCTCTTCCTCTCTGCCCCTCTCTGTCTCTGAGGGAGATCATTCTTGCAGAAAACTACCATTAGAGAAGCCACTTCCTGGTACCTTCGGAATTAGTTGGCATCATACTTAATTGCTCAGTAGCCCTCTTCAGGAGCATTCAACCCATCAAGTGTTAATGAGTAAATATATTTGCTGGCGGCTAAGAAATGGCAAATGCAATCGCTTTGCAGTAGACCACCCAAGTGCCCTTAATGGAGAAGGATGCTATATGATGCCCTGTTTACCAGAGCATGGCACCTTTGCCAGTGCGGGGTGATCTACAGATTGCACTTTGAAAACTGGCAATACTTACATCACTGCTGTTGGCTCAGGGCGAGGGGCAGAAATGAGCAAGTGTTTTTAGTCTAACATTCAATCAAGACAGTACGCATCATATTAAGAGTAATGTATTCAGACCATGATGTTTAGGTTAGAAAGTTAGAGGCTTTCTTCTAGTATATTACACAAACATAATGTAACTGATAGCCTCAGATTGCCACTAATAAAGATTTCTGATCCTCTGCAATAATTGGCAAGGACAGTTAGAACATGCCTATGGATCGCCTTCATAAAAAAAAAAAAAAGGAAGAAAGGAAGGAAGACGCACAAGCGTCTGATTCTAAGAATCCAACAAAATGGATGATAAAGTCTAACAAGCAGATGCAATTTTAAAAACTCTCCTTGTTCTTTTTTTCCTATTGTGTGCTGATATAATTCTTTAAAACCTGTTCATAGCAGGAACCCATGAAACTACATGAATGTTCCAATTTAGCGACAACCAGTTTTATTCCCATGAGTTTAAAATATGTAGATTTTCACCAAGTCCCTTCAATCTAGAAGACATGTCATGAATTTATCTCTTCGATCTCTTCCTCCCCTGCTTCCACTTTATTGATTTTTGTACCAGTAACTGACTTTGACCTTTGATGATAACGGTATTGTTTCTGCAAAGTGAAGGGACCACAAAAAAGCCAGATCTGTGGCTTTTTTCAGTATGTTCTTCCTGTCCCCACTCCGTTTAATTGTTTTCCATCTGCGACTAATATATTAATGACCCAGTATTGACTTCATCAGATCTGCCTGACAATCCATTAATATAATTGTAACATTCAGGATCTATGGTTTGGCATACCAGGAATCAGAAGAGTAAGTCATGTCTGTTACTGTATGTCTGTACTCAAGGCCAAGGCAGAGTTGGGATTTCAAAAGCAGGGTTGTCAGTGAGGGGCAGATGAGCACACGGGTGGGTAGGATTACCCAGAACTGATCATATTTCACTATCAAAGGATACCCCATGGAGACCACAGTGTGGGCCATGAGCTGGAGGAAGCTTTACACATTTAGAATTGCTCCTGCAAAATGATTCAGGAGAACACCTGCCAGCTATGTGGTATGCAAATGAGGGAGGCCTGGAGAAGTATCTTTTTATTATTGTTTGGTTTTATTTTTAAAATTTTTTTTCATGTTTATTTATTTTTGAGAGAGAGAGAGAGTGCGCGCAATCAAGGGAGGGGCAGAAAGAGACGCAGACACGGAATCTGAAGCAGGCTTCAGGCTCTGGGCTGTCAGCACAGAGCCTGACACGGGGCTCGAACTCACAAAACATGAGATCATGACCTGAGCCGAAGTCAGACGCTTAACCAGTTGAGCCACCCAGGCACCCCTGGTTTTATTTTTAAAACTGACTTCAAGACTCTTGCTTTAGAAACTCAGGAAAGATGATGTCAGGTAGTTGGGGAAGGAAATGCTGTCAGTCTCTGATGGATATGGCCTGTCCCTCTTCCTCACTACCCGGCTCATCTGTGGGCTGAAGGTGTACCCAAATATCAGAGGATCCTGCCAGAAGACCTGCCTGTAATTCCTTCAGGGGAGCCGACAGGCATCATGAAATCTGGGGAGCACCTCCTAGTCATGTGGTGGTGCACTAGCACTTGGCTGGGATTTCTGGGAGCCAGAGAAAGGAGAAAGGGCATCAGTGGGGTGAGTGGAGTGGGGGAGGCAGGTCTTCAGTCATACTTGAAGAAGTTTCCTTTGTCAGAGGAAGAGGACAGGATGAGCAGGTAGGCTACCAAGGTCAGGGAGGAGCCCTGGCAGAGAGCACGAGGGAGACCTGACCGTGGATAGAAAGGGTCTTCACCTCCATGGCATCTTGGGTCTCCTTGGTCGCTTCTTGAAATGGATCTTCTCTCGGGAAGAACTCCCACATACACACAATTTTACATAGACATGCAGGTGTTCACAAACCATTAAATCCAGCCTGAAAAAAAATCCGTACGCCCGAGATTTAAAAAAAGCCCTGAGTTACAAGCGTAAGAAAGAATGACAAGTAAGGTGAGGACATTGGTTAAAAGGCTGTGAATGAGGAGTATTATGTAATGAAATGAAGGGCAGAGAAAGGAAAGGAAGGATGTTTCTAAGTGAGCCACGTGGGGGTGAAAGCAGTGCTTTAAGATTAGTTAGTATGGAATTAGCCTGCAGAGAAAACTGGAAACAAAGGGAACAGTTAGGGGTAGAAACAAATGACTCAGACAACAATAAGGGCCGTGTTGCAATTGTACCTTTTATTTTAGTCAACAATCTAAGTTGCATACAACTAAAACATCTTTTCTAATATCAAATATATTGTAGTGTCAAAACTGCTGACTTTTAAGTGTGTTCCTTCTCATTTAATAAAAAGTGATAAATACATATCAGTAGTTTTGCTTCATATAATACAGTTAG